TGAGGGGCTCGGAGCTTGGGGGGGAACGCGGCTCGGCCCTGAGGAGCTCGGAGCTGAGGGGACCGCGGCTCGCACCTGAGGTGCTCGGAGCTGAGGGGGGACCGCGGCTCGGCGCTGTGGGGCCCGTGGAGCCGCCGAGCCCCTCACGGCCGGGAGAGGAGGGGAACGGCGCTGGGGTGCGGGCTTCCTGAGGAGACCGAGGGAGGAGGGATTCCCCCTTCTTTCATGTGTGGGGGGGCAAGCTTAGAAACCGCGGCTGCCGCGCTCAGGTGAAATAGCGTGGCTTGGGAATACGTGAAAATAGGAATATGGGGCACATAGAAAAGGGCGTGGGGAGGAGGTGGAGGGAGGTCGTCCTCCCCCTCTGCTCTGCTGTGGTGAGGTCGCACCTGGAGCATTGGGTCCAGTTCTGCCCCCCCCCCAGTTCCAGAAGGACAGGGAACTGCTGGAGAGAGTCCAGTGGAGGCTACAGAGATGATCAAGAAATGGAATCACCTCTCTTATGATGAAAGGCTGAGAGAGCTGGGTCTGTTCAGCCCAGAGAACAGAAGACTGAGCGGGGATCTTATCAATGCTTATAAATATCGAAAGGGTGGGTGTCAAGAGGATGGGGTCAGACTCTTCCTAGTGGTGCCCGACAGTAGGAAAAGGGGCAACAGGCACAAGAAATTCCATCTGAACATGAGGATAAACTTCGTTCCTTTGAGAGTGCCAGAGCCCTGGAACAGGCTGCCCAGCGAGGCTGTGGAGTCTCCTTCTCTGGAGACACCCAAGACCCACCTGGATGTGTTGCTGCTCAGGCTGCTGTGGGTGAACCTGCTCTGGCTTGGACTAGATGATCTCCAGAGGTTCCTTCCAACCCCTGCTGTTCTGTGAATGTATGAAAATAGGATTTTTTCAGGGAAAGCACAAGAGCCTTTTTTTTTCTGATTTGCTGCCCTTTACCCTGTGGGGAGCTCTTAGTGAAGTGAGGAGGGTGGGTTGCTGGTGGGGCAGCAGTGACACGGCGTGTGCGAGGCCCGTGGTGGATGGTGTGTGTTGTCCCACTCAGTAGCTCCATCGCCCCTGTCCCACAAATCTTGGGTAGGCGTTTTATACAAAGGTGCAGGAAAGCCAAGGATACAATGTGGTGGTGTTCGGGCTCTGGAGGCTCTTGCAAGCTTTTAAGCTGCAGTGCTGAACGCGGGGGCGTGAGGCTTCATGTCTCCCACACCTCCCTTTGCACATCCAGCTATGGATGTTCTCGTTACTCGTGTTTACGTCCACCTTTTCTCTGAAATGTAAGAAATCATGTAACTATAACGTGACTAGTGCTGCATTGGGCAGCTTAGCTGTGTTTTGCCCAAGTAATTGCGGATACGATGTGTATTTCATCGTTGCGCCAAGATGCGTCCCGTCTCCTCCTGCTACCTTGACGTTCCCCCAAAAATCCCATTTGATTTTTTTTTTTTTTCCCCAGTACGGCCCCATGAGGGATGATTCCTTGCCTTTAATCATCTTCCTCGTCCTCTCAGCTCTGCCTAATTACACGGTGTCCTTTCTGAGGTGGATGGATGCGCAGGGTGCCGTGGGTGTACCACTGATTCAGCTCCTGCCGGTACTGTTTCAACACGCCCTTGCCTTCATTACAGCTGCATATTGATCAGCTGCTTTCACAGAACCACCCAGAATGTTTCTAGGACTTTCCTGTAATTAAAAGAGCTCTGTGGGATACAGGAGTTGCGTTTTCCCCTTTCTGCCTGCATTACTTTGCATTATTCAGGGATAGACTCTGTGTGCCTTTACATCAGCCTTTCACTTAGCTTGATTAAATCTCCTTGAAGTCCTTCGCAGACTTCTCTCAATTTGACTAAACAAAATCACTGTCTGCAAACAAGTCTCGCTGCTCACATCGAGGTCTAGTGTATGAATGCATAATCACGAAGTGAGCATCAGAATATGCAAAAATGTGTTTTAAATTCGCTGAGCAACTCTGAAACAAAGCAGACAGTTTGGTTAACTAGAAACTAAGCCCCAAATTAAACTTTCCAGCTTGCTGTGGGTCTTTCAAACAGGCATAGTTCTAAATGTGTTACAGTTACCAAAAAAAAAGAGTCAAACTGATTTGATTAAAGTCGTTCAAAGTCTTTGTTATTTTCCATGCACAACTAATCAACGTGCCTCATTTCAAAGTTATTTGAATGACGAGGAAGAGCTTCCACACTTCTCCCTTCTCCAGCCGGTTTAGTTCAGCTGGAGACCCTGGCTATAGAGGTGCTGCTTGTAAATATAATAGGTGAAAATTTGTCAAAAGTGAACTACAGCCTTTAATTAAACCCCTCGACAGCCCTCCGTTGCTTAAGGTCGGCCGAACCCGGCGGCAACCCTCAGCCCATGGGAAATGCTCTGGTTGGACCAGCCTTCCCTTTCCTCCCTTCCCTTCCCCCGCGAGAGCTGCTTTTCCGACAGCAAAGGGGGTATTTTTGTACCCCCCTGCTGGGTGTTTGCGGGGGGAGTTTCTTCTGTTGGTGAAAACGAGCAGGAAAAGAGGATTAATGGCTACCAGGGTGG